CAAAAATTTTCTTGCCATTCTTAATTATAAATTAATCAACTAATATCATGAAAATAAAAAAAAAAAAAAGGAGAGAGAAGAAATTATATGCACTGAGCTTTGGCAAGAAGAAGAGGAGTAGATTTAGTAGTGGTTTCTACTCATAAGCAAGTACAATAGGAGCATCATTCAAAATCATTCTCCCAATCCCCAAGCGAACGCCATTGGATAAAATCTTTGAAAACCACATCATGATTTGGGGCTTTAAAGATTGACATATATTTCAAAATTTGAAAAATCATTAGTGAGTATATGTAAAAAAGCATAGAGCATAAACTAAGCACATACTTGAAACTTTTAAGCATCAAACTTACAAAGGAAAACTGAAAAAAAGTCAAACAGATAATGAAAAGACTATTTAACATCTATTGTCATATAAGCCTGAACATTATTATTATTATCTCCACCTTACCCATCTCTAAAGAGAGTGCCTAGACGCAACTATTTGTGCACACTTAGCAAAAAAAAATAATGGCAATTACCTATTTTATTAAAAAAATAAATTTTTATAAGTGATCAATCAAATTTAACTAAAAAAAATTAATGGTAATTACCTATTTTGATTTTTTAAAGTTTTGTTTAAACGTTCAAGTTTTCAAATATTTTTATTTACTTATTGTCTTAATCTATTTTTAATGTTTATTTAAATGATTCAATGTAAGTTTTTTATATTCATTTGATATTATTTAAATTTTAATTTAAAATCGTTATAATAGTCTATTAAATTTTGTTTGCCAAAGTCATTTATAAATATTAAAAACTTTCAAGTAGTAATGTGAGAAAAATAGTATTTTGCAGTAAATCATGGAATCATGGTCTAATTAATACTAATAAAATTTAAAAGGATTAAATTCAAAAGAAAAAAAAAGTGAGACATATTAGATTCATTATTAATTTTTTTGAAATTATTAAATTTATTATTTTTTCATTATATTTTCAAGGCCTTCATTATCATTACTAGAGGAAGACCTGCGCTCCGCTACAGGCATGATTGATCACCGCAAAGCAAGTGATATTTGAATTTAAAAACTATTTTATTTTTTTAATAATCATCTTTAATTAAATTTTATTAAAAAATGAATCATCAAAACCAATACATAAAAAAAGTTTACTATTCATAATTTCATGAGAGCATATCATCAATCATTAAATCATTATAAAAAAAATATTATATCATTATCATGAGAGCATATCATTAATCATTAAATCATTATAAAAAAATTTATATCATTATCATGAGAGCATATCATTATAAAAAAAATCATTAAATACATGTAAGTACATATATATTGAAAGTTTGAGTAGCAAACATTGAATATAATGAATACATGCCTGATTTTAGTTGAGTAGTCTTTAGAATGTTTAAATCAAGATAGATTTTTGTTGCTGATGATGAGATAACAAATAAAACACCTGTAACCTTTATTATATTTTAAGTAAGTTTTGTATGGTATGTTCAAAATCAATAGTAAAAGATTAAATTTTATGTGTTAAAGTAGCTAGAGAATAAGAATCATTTACGCAAGACAGTTAGAGAAAAAATAACGATTGGAAATTTCAAGGTATCTTGATTATTCTATGTGCCATATTGCCATAAAAAACCATTTTAGAAGACTGATGATAAGCATACCATAAAAAACTCAATTAATAAAAAATATATATTATAATTGACATGTTCGTAGGTATATCCATTATTTTTTAAAATAATCGTATTTTTTAAGTAATTATATTTTAATTTGTTTAATTTTCCAACAATAAAAAATAACCTCACATTTATTTAAAGAGTATTTTAAAAAATAGTAGTAATAATTTATCAAAGATAATTAATTTAATCTACTGATTATTTTATTTACTTATATATGTTGCAAATATCTAAGTTGTTGTATATCTTAACATGCACTAAAATTTATTTTTGAAAACATTTAGTTTTTGTAAATATTTCTGTTTGGAAAATTTAGTTTTTGGATATCTTAATATATACTAATATTAATATAATCATATATTTATTAATTATAAAAATGAAATATATTAAAAATATCATTCATAAATATATTATAAAATATGTTTTGCAAGTATAATATATAATTATATATCCATTTCATTAATTTTTAAAATATTTTTATTTATTTCATAACTTAAAACAATTCCATTATTTCAATTAGTGAAAAATAAACACTAAATAGACAAAATAAAAAATATATAAAAATGGGTTAAGTTTCATAATTACAATTGGGTTTAATATAATTTAATCAATGCGAAACAATTAAATTGGGCCTAAATGCATTCGAGTGGGCCTCGTTTTATTACTGTTTTTGGTTTTTCTTTTTTAGTTTATTTTCTTCTCCTTCTTGGTTTTATTTTCATCTTTCTTTCCCCTGCCTCTGCTCAGACTCTATTTCTCTAAATTTTTCAAACCCAGTTTTCGATGTTAGATCATCGTATCTTCTGTCATCTCTCGCCAATTATCAATGTCAGAAAATCTTCAAAATTCACCTGAATCTTTTTTTTTTTTTAAATCCTCTTTGTTTTTATAGAATTAGATTTTTATAAAACCTCTAGAAACTCATGAATCTAGCTTCAAACCCAAATAAAAAATTTCAAATCTAGGGCCGCTGTTGCTGTCGTTGACCACCAAACTTCCACTATGACTTCCTCTATCCTCTTTCTTGATTTTTACTATTTGGAATCCTCAAAATCCCCGAAGAAAATCTTAAACTTAAACCCTAGGAGAGAGAAAATCCTTTTTCTCTCCTTTTTGTGTCTTTTTTTTTTTATTTTTTTGTCTTGTTTACTTGATTTTTGTGTATTTGTTCTATTTGAGTTGATTTATATTTTTGGCTATTTTTTTTAAGTCTTATTCTTGTTTGTATTTTTTTGCTTATTCATTTATTCTAATCTTGATTCTTTGTTTATGGCTAGTGAAAACACGGAAACTTGTTCTTCGAACTAAAGTCAGTGTCTGGCATCATTTGGAATTGGTTGGCTAATATGATAGAATTTTCAGCACAAGTTTAAAATTAAAAAATAGTTTTTTTTAAGAGATAACAAGTGTTAGTTGGCAATTTAATTGGTATTTAATTATACTTATGTGACAATGAATTAAGCTGATGATTTGACACTTAAATAAATAAGAAAAGTTTTGATTTGGCAAAAATTTGAGATTTGGGGATAACTTTAATATATAAGTATAGATAGTTCTATTTCATATATGGAGGAATATCCATCGAAAGTCATATTTTATTATATTTTAAAACTAATTTGTGACTATTACATGAATTATTTTGTTTATTTATATCTTTCTTACAATTATCTAAGTCTTTAAAATTTTATGACATATATAAAATTTAAATATATATCAACTAATATGTCATAAGAAAATTAAACTTTAATATTATTATTTTAATCAAAATGTTGAAAATAATTATGAACAATAAGAGATATTAGATATAGATAAAAAAGTACAAAATAATTGAATATAAATTTAATATTAGTTTTTTTAGGAGAACATAAATAGTGAATGATCAATAAAATAATAAAAGTATATTATGATTTTGATTAAAATACTAAAAAAAATCAATTAAAAAATATGTGACAAACAAAAAAGAATTGAATAAAAAATAAAGAAGAAATTATTTAAATAATAAACAATAAATATTATTGTTTAAAAAACAATATAATCTCAAAGGAAAACTAAATATTAAAAGAATGACGTAGCACATATTATTAATTACTAAAAGAAGTAAAGAGATATGTGCTTTTTGAATTTAAAAGGAAACTAATAGTAAAAGTATTTGAAAATTGAAAAAAAAAAAGATATATGTGATTTTAATTTAGAGAGAATATTTTTTTATTTTTATTATTTCCTTTTGCATATTTATACTAAAAAAATCAATAATTTAATTTGTTTTTAAATTTGTCAATATTTTAATTAAAAATTAATTACTTAGTTAATGAATGTTTTATCATATATTATTATCTTCTCATCTATGCAATATCAATCTAACCCCACATCAAAGTTTAAATTCACCATTTATATAAAAAATATTTTTTACCTATTTTAATCTTAATTATTTTCTTAAGGAATTTTATAGATAATTACTATTGTTCTATATGTATATATATCATAGGACATATGAAAATATTAAAAAAATATTATTATAATGCAAATAAAAAATAACTATAAGTATTATATTTATAGGTTATTACGAACTTATAGTCTTATTTAACTTATTAAAAAAAGTAATTTTTATAACACTTAACTTAAATTTATATATTAAAAATTTATTTAAAATGAAAGTTGGTTATATATTTACCATACAAATCATAATAATGCATATATTTTATGTATACATTTAATTTTACTAATTATTATACAAAAATCAATTAATTTAAGATGAAAAATGTTGAAATCATATATTACAAATATAATAATAAAAATGTAAAATTTAAATATATCCATGCTTTACATAATATATAATAATAATAATAATTAATTAATTAATAAACAAACAAGCAAACAAATAAATAAATAAATGAAATCCAAAACTTCAAAATTGTTTTACAATGTACTTATAAAGTTTAAATGCAAGATAAAGAATATATATTTATATATAAAAAAATATTCATGTTAATTTTAAATGAGATTTCATTTTTATTTTTTTTCATTGTAATGATCCAAATAATCTTGTCTCATTTAAATGAGGGTAAAGATTATAAATTGTTTAACATAAAAAATTTGGATAAATGTAATTTTAAGATTAGAAACATTTTTTAAATTTAAATAATAAGGTTATTTGATAGTTAACTACAATTAAATAAGTATCTTATGTATCAATAATATAAATTGATCACATAAAATTATACGTAAATAAATAATGTAAATATGTATATTGTAATGTAATATTATATATGATGATATTTAAAATTTTAATAAAAAATAATAAAGTAATAAAAATAATAATAGAAAAGAACCGGGCTGGGACCCGAATAGAAGTGGGTTGGGCGTCGGGTATAATCGGGAAGCTGGGGATCCCCTTTGCCCTTTCTCCCTCCTTCGCTGATAAAAGCGGAAAATAGCGAAGGTTTGAGGTTTTTCCCATTCCAATTGTGTCGAGGAAGAGAAATCTTCTCTTTACTCGTTACACCCTCGGACCTATCACCTTTAATTTTTTTGCTTTGATGGACCATTCTTTTTCATCATAGTAATTCATTGGTAGCATTTATTGGTTTTTTTTTTTTTCTTGCAACTGTAAAAAAAATTTGAAATTACCAAATAGCTTAAACATGGAGGATATGTCCAATCACGGCCAGGCTCCCAATCCCAATCAAAATGATAACCAGAATCAAACGGAAGAGCAACAGCCTGTGGAAAGAGAGGAGCAGCAAGAAGAAGAAGACGAGGAGGAGAAAGAAGAAGGGAGGAGGGAAGACGAGGAATTAATGGCAAAGGCGCAGGCTCTCATGGAAAAGATCACTTCTTCTCCCGATAACCCTAATCCTACGGTGCTTCATGCCCTGGTCTCTCTTATCGAAACTCAGGAGTCTCTGTATGTCCTCTCTCTCTCTCTCTATATATATATATATATTTATTTATCTTTTTTTTTACTAATACTTTTAAATTTATTTATAATAAACAGCTAAGCTAAGGAAATTCTCGCACAGTGTAATTTAATACTAGTATACTTTTATCCTTATGTATTCCCCATCCTTTCGTCCAATGCTAAGTTACGAAATCAATTACTTACAAAGTTCGATTAAACATAGTTTAGAGGTGGAAGAAATGTTCGGCTATAACTGTGCTATCTCAGAAATTCCAATCCTGGTTCCCTAAAAACTGAAACAAGATTTTAAGACCTTATTGTGGTTCAAATGAACCAGAACAAACTGCATACGGTAGATGTTTTAAGCTTATTGAGAGGTTGATATGTAAAATGTATGGATGAGCAGTTATGTCCATATTGCTTTTCATTCTTTCTTATTATCTAGTAATGGTATTTATTTTCGATTCAATGTTTTGTATCCTCTTTATATTTAATTTTAGATACCTTGAAGAGAATGGTCCTTCTTCCAGCAATGGTCGTGCCTCTCATAATGTTGGGCGGTTGGGGAGCTTAGTCAGGGTAATTAACTTTTCTATATTGATCCTTTTTGTTTTCCCCCCTTTTCCCCATTTCATAGGTAAGTTTGTTATTATTATAATTTCAATAATTTTTTTTTAATGTAATTTCATGCAGCTTTCCTTTTTTCATTTTATTTTATTGTTATTTAGACTATATATGATGTGATTTTTGAGAACATTATTACTCATTTGATTAAGTTCTTACTTGGAGCATTTCCATTTGCTCTCAGGAGAATGACGAATTTTTTGATTTGATATCATCAAAGTTTCTTTCTGAGAGTAGATATTCAACCTCTGTCCAGGCGGCTGCTGCTAGACTTCTTCTAAGCTGCTCTCTTACTTGGATTGTGAGATTTTCTTTTTTTGGTCAAATTATTTAATTTCTCTCAACTCTCTCAACTTTATGTGATCTTTTCTGACTGGATGTGCTGTAATTGGGTCACAGTATCCTCATGTTTTTGAAGAACCAGTTTTGGAGAACATCAAAGCTTGGGTGATGAATGAGACTGCTAGATTTTCTATTGAAGATCACAATTGCAAGCAAGACTTGGCTAGAAAGGAAGCCTCAGATGTTGAAATTTTAAAAACCTATTCCACTGGACTTCTTGCTGTGTGTTTGGCGAGGTCTGCTTCTACTTAATGTTTATGGTGCACTCTTTATTCTGTTCTTATGTACCTGGTGTTGTCATTCTTCCATTATTCTTGTTGTATGCTCCTTCTGATTATTCTTAGCATTACTGAATTTTGCAGTGGTGGTCAAGTAGTGGAAGATGTGTTAACTTCTGGATTGTCTGCTAAGCTTATGCATTATCTTCGTGTGCGTGTCCTTGGGGAGATTACTGTAGGTCAAAATGATGCCTGCCATTTATCTGAAACTAAGAGTTTATCCGGTGCCACTTCTTTCAGAAGTCGAGATGAAGGTCGAGGGAGGGTTCGGCAGGTTCTAGAGACAATTCATATAGATGATGCCAGAATAATAGATGAGCAATCTTTCAATGATCATTGTGCTGAGTGGGATCGAGAACGAAGCACTAGTCGGCAATCATGTGGAGAGGAGTGTTGTGTTGGTGACAGACAACTACCTGATGGGGTGACTGAGGTGGTTAACATGCATGATGTGGATGCTGATAGCGAGGAAAGATGGTATATTCGAGATATTCGTGATGGAAAAATGAGATATGGAGAAGTTGATGAAAATGGGAGAGATGACTCCTCGAGGCGCAGGATAAACCGTGGTTCAGCTAGGTCTAGAGGTAAGGGAAGGACCACTGAAGGGATTATAGAGAATGAACAATCGCTAATCTCTCCAGGCTCTGGTAGTCCTTTTGGACTGACACATAGTATGAGAGACAGAAGTTTGTCTAAACATTTAGATGCGAGAAAGGTGTTGGAGGGAAAGAAGTGTGTTGGAAAGACCAACGCTGATAATCTGGTATTGGAAAGGGAGGATAATGATGAATGCTTTCAAGGATGCAGGGTTGGAAGTAAAGACTTCTCTGATCTGGTAAAAAAAGCGGTTAGAGCTGCTGAAGCTGAAGCTAGGGCAGCCAACGCACCTGTTGAAGCTGTCAAAGCAGCTGGTGAAGCTGCAGCTGAAGTTGTCAAGTGCGCCGCTTTAGAGGTACAAGGCTGTTCTCATGATTCTGCTCTTTTTCATTTTTCCTTTTCCCCCCGTAAAAAATTCTTTTGGGTTGCGTTTCAGAGATTTATTATCAATTATTTCTGCTTTCTATCCTCAGGAGTTCAAAACTACTAACAATGAAGAAGCTGCATTATTGGCTGCTTCCAAAGCTGCATCTACTGTTGTTGATGCTGCTAATGCCATTGAAGTTTCAAGGTGGGTATTTCTAGCTGACAGACTTTACGAAGTCATAATGCTCGCAATTCAGTTGATATATTTGGGTTTTCATTTCCTAGTGCAACTGGTAATACACCTCATTTGTTGCTCACAGGGACTCCACTAGTACAAGTGCTGATCCAATAAATAAAAGTGCTGTGGAAACAGAAGTAAGTGAGGACGTTGAAGAGTATTTTATTCCCAATGTTGAGCTGCTGGCACATTTGAGAGAAAGATACTGTATTCAGTGCCTTGAGACTTTAGGTGAATATGTTGAAGTCCTTGGGCCTGTACTGCATGAAAAGGGTGTAGATGTTTGCCTTGCCCTCTTGCAACAAAGTTCCAAGTTCGAAGAAGCATCAAAGGCTACTTCTCTTTTGCCTGATGTGATGAAGCTAATTTGCGCTTTAGCTGCCCATCGGAAGTTTGCTGCATTATTTGTTGATAGGGGTGGCACGCAAAAACTGCTTGCTATTCCAAGAGTTGCTCAAAATTGTTTTGGTCTGTCTTCTTGCTTATATACTATCGGTTCACTTCAGGTAATTAATGTAAACTTAAAATTTGGAATTTATTGTGTATTATCATCCTATATGCAGTGTCTTTTAATTTCCTAAATTTTAGGAATTACCATAAAAGTTTAACTTAAGTTTTATAACTATATTTGGAGGTTGATTCTACTGACATGAGAGTATTATTAGAAATTATGCCTTTTGAGCCTTATACATTACGATGTATAAAATGTTCTTTTCTTCGTGTTCTTCTAGAGAATAATGGAACGTGTCTGCGCGCTTCCTTCTGATATTGCCCACCAGGTGGTCGAGTTAGCTATCCAACTTCTTGAATGCCCCCAGGATCAAGCTAGGAAAAATGCAGCATTATTTTTTGCTGCTGCATTTGTCTTCAGAGCGGTGCTTGATGCTTTTGACACTCAAGATGGCTTACAGAAACTACTGGGCCTTTTAAATGATGTTGCCTCAGTAAGATTTGGGGCAAATTCCGGTGCATTAGGCTTGTCTGGAACAACATCATTTCGAAATGATAGATCGCCATCAGATGTGCTGACTCCCTCAGAAAAGCAGATAGCTTATCATGCATGTGTTGCTTTGCGGCAATACTTCCGAGCTCATCTTCTTTTGCTTGTGGATTCCATACGCCCAAATAAAAGTAACCGGAGTGGGGCACGGAGTATTCCAAGCATCAGGGCAGCATATAAGCCGCTCGACATTAGCAATGAGGCTATGGATGCCGTGTTTCTGCAGTTGCAGAAGGATCGCAAGCTGGGTCCTGCATTTGTGAGAACTCGTTGGTCTGCTGTTGAGAAGTTCTTAAGCTGTAATGGACATATTACCATGTTGGAATTGTGTCAGGTGTCCTGCATCAAACTTCTACATCAGCCCCCCTTCCCCCTCCTGCCCCTTGGTTTATCATTTTCTGCCTCATCTTTGGGTAATGTATTCCTCTTGTAATCTTTGTAGGCCCCTCCTGTTGAGCGATACCTGCATGACTTACTACAGTATGCTCTAGGTGTTCTGCACATTGTTACATTGGTGCCAGTCAGCCGCAAGATGATTGTAAATGCCACGCTGAGCAATAATCGCATTGGCATAGCGGTTATTTTGGATGCAGCAAATAGCGCTAGTAGCCTTGTGGACCCTGAGGTGGGCATGTGCTTTGATATTGCAATGTCATTATTGTTGATCTTATTGTTCTTATTCTTGTTCTAGCAAATAACACTATCGCTTACAAGGACTATTTTTGTTATTTCATGTTTATGACTTTGATAGTACCGTTGCTATTTTGGATGTTGAAATCTGACTTATGACTTGTATGTTTACTGGTTTAGCCACTAATCTTCATCTCCTTTTTATTGTGTACTTGCAGATTATACAGCCAGCTCTTAATGTTTTAATTAACCTAGTTTGTCCTCCACCTTCAATCAGCAATAAACCATCCTTATTAGCTCAAGGTCAGCAGTTAGCTTCTGGTCAAACCACAAATGGTCCTGTTGTGGAAACTAGAAATGCAGAATGCAATATTTTGGATCGAGCTGTTTACCTGCCTAACCAGAGTGAGATGAGGGAGCGAAGTGGAGAGTCGAGTTTGGTAGACAGGGGCACTGCATCTGGCACCCAGTTGTTCAGCGGTACTGCTCAAACAACTGTTTCTGCTGCTCCGTCTGGGTTGGTTGGAGATCGTAGAATATCCTTAGGTGCTGCAGCAGGTTGTGCCGGCCTTGCTGCACAATTAGAACAAGGATATCGTCAAGCGAGAGAGGTTGTCCGTGCCAATAATGGCATAAAAGTTCTACTGCATCTCCTCCAACCCCGCATATATTCACCTCCTGCTGCTTTGGATTGTCTTCGTGCCCTTGCATGCAGAGTCTTGCTTGGTTTAGCTAGAGACGAGACAATTGCACATATATTGACCAAGCTTCAGGTAAAAACGGATTATTGCCACATTCTATTTGATTAATATCTTCTTTGTAGTTTTACTTGCTTTTTTACCATTTGTCATATTTCTCTGCATTCAAAGGTTCACTGCTTCACTCCCTATCTCATTGCTTACGCTGAAAAAGATGAATATTGTTATGATATATTTGATATGTTGATCTACTCATTGGTTAATGCTACTAGTTTCAACTCTTCATTGTTCTAGGTTGGCAAGAAGCTATCTGAACTGATTCGAGATTCAGGTGGCCAGACACCTGGAACTGAGCAAGGCAGGTGGCAATCTGAACTTGCCCAGGTGGCAATTGAGCTAATTGCTGTAAGTATCCGTACCTGCTACTTGAGACTGGTTGCATGCTATTTTTTGTTAAAATGGGTATTTTCTTCTACTGCTATGTCATGCCTGTCGCCTAAAGTGATTAGAATAGCTTACTTCAAAAGCTATGCTTATTATCTTCTGGCCTGAATTTTGCAAACAGTTGTGCGTACAGAGTTGCTCTTTTACAACCTGGTTTTCTTCAATGGGAGATTAAAGATTCTTTATAATTAACCTTAGACTCGTTGCTTTTTTTTTTGATGCCTCATTATTCACCTTGTGATGACGCCTCAAATATTCAATCAAGAACAAGAAGTGATTGGTATAGAACTGTCAATCATAAACACTTGAAAGTTGACATCTCTTTTACCAAAATGCAAAATGAAAATTTTTTTTGGAACAAAATATTGAGCCATTGTTCAAGCCCAATTTATTTTAATTAGTGGCAGAATTTAGCATCATATGCTACATATTAGAACAGGTTTCAGAATAACTTGCTTTCGATGATTCAGTTGCAGCATCTTCTGCTCTATGATACTTGGTGGTGAGTATTTATGTTTCTTTTATTTATTTAATATTAGTTTCACTGGACTGAAAGCATTATTATTGATTGTTATATTAAGTATTTTTTTATTCCCTCTCTAATGCATGCATAACTTAAGCCTATTGTCTCAATAAATGAAAATGATTTTTTGGTGAACAGATTTTGTTTATAGGAGATTAATTCTCAGCATTTGTCTATGGTGTGTTAGATTGTTACAAATTCTGGGCGTGCAAGTACGTTGGCAGCTACAGATGCTGCTACACCTACATTGAGGCGGATAGAGAGAGCTGCTATAGCTGCTGCCACTCCTATTACTTACCATTCCAGGTAATTTTTCCAGTGACATTTTATGATTCATCATCTAATTCTACTCTTCTCTGTTCCATTATTTGATTTGTTTGGACTCTTACTTATTCCGTTCTGTTGTATGCACATGCTTATCAAACTGCAGGGAGCTTTTGCTTCTCATACATGAACATCTGCAGGCATCTGGTCTGCCTGAAACTGCAGCTTCACTTCTGAAAGAAGCTCAATTGACACCTTTGCCATCCTTGGTGGCCCCTTCATCTCTTGCACACCAAGCCTCCACGCAAGATACTCCTTCAATACAACTCCAGTGGCCCTCAGGTCGTATCTCTGGTGGATTTCTTTCCAGCAGATCAAAGATTGCTGTCCGGGATGATGATATTAATTTGAAGTGTGATTCAACTTTATCTTTAAAGAAGAGATCACTTGTTTTCTCTCCCACTTTTGGTTTACAACCAAGAAATCACTTCCATTCCCAAGATTCCCAACCACCATCTGTTAGGAAAGTAGTCACTAGTTCAAAAACATGTCCTTTACCAGCAAGTGTTTCAGAAACTCTGATGGAATCAATTCTGAAAAGTAACGTTGATTCAGAATTGCAATGTAAGACTCTTCTTGTGTTGCCAATGAAAAGAAAATTATTCGAGTTAAAGGATACTGGATTGACATTTTCTGGCAAGCGATTCAACACTGGTGATCATGGACCACGGTCTCCTGTTTATCTGACACCCAATGCTAGTTGTAGAAATTGTCTGCTTGCAGATGCTGCTGCATTGACGCCAACTTCTACATTAAGGGATCAACATGTTCGAGCAACACCGAGCAGCTTAATTGATTTGTCAGATGACAACCTATGTGGTAGCTCTCATGTGGGACAGATGACACCTTCCTCCCAAGTTGGGCCTCTAAATGATCCCCAACCCAGCAGCTCAGAATGTTTGAGTCTCGACACTATAGTTGTTCAGTATCTAAAGCACCAGCATCGTCAGTGCCCTGCTCCTATAACGACTCTTCCACCACTCTCTCTTTTACATCCACATGTTTGTCCTGAGCCAAAACGAAGCTTTGATGCACCATCAAATATCACTTCCCGGCTTGGTACTCGTGAGTTCAGGAGTGGTTATGGTGGAGTCCATGGAAATCGCAGGGATCGTCAGTTCGTTTACAGTAGATTCAGGCCATGGAGAACTTGCAGGGAAGATGCTGGCACTTTGTTGACATGTGTCTCTTTTCTGGGGGACTCCTCCCATATTGCAGTTGGTAGCCATGCTGGGGATTTAAAAATTTTTTATTCTAACAGCAACAATGTGCTGAACAGCTACACAGGCCACCAGCTTCCTGTGACTCTTGTTCAGTCATATTTTTCTGGTGAGACCCAAATGGTTCTCTCATCAAGCTCTCAGGATGTGCGGTTGTGGGATGCCTCTGTCTCAGGCAGGGCTATGCATTCATTTGAAGGCTGCAAGGCTGCTAGGTTCAGCAATTCCGGGAGCATTTTTTCTGCCCTATCCGCAGATTCCACCCAGCGAGAAATTCTCCTTTATGATATCCAGACCTACCAGTTGGAATTGAAGCTTTCTGATGTGTCAGATAATTCTACAGGTCGTAGTCATGTATATTCTCTTATACATTTTAATCCATCTGATACTATGCTGCTGTGGAATGGTGTTTTATGGGATCGCCGGGTCCCAGGTCCTGTTCATCGCTTTGATCAGTTTACAGATTATGGTGGTGGTGGTTTTCATCCTGCTGGGAACGAGGTATAGAACTCCGTCTCTACCATAGATTTATTTTTTTGGCTTAAGGTGTTTTTTATCAGGTGCTATCTCTTTAAACTCTTTGTTATAAAGCATTTTCATCACACCATTCAAATTCTTTGTGGACCGTATCTTAAGTCTTTAATTTAGATGGTTCACTAGGGTGGTCTGTTTGTATGTGGACAGTGCAAATGGAAACATGTCCATTGAAACGTCAGAAGTTGGGTGGATTGTTCCAGCCCTTTCTAATTTTTGTAGGCCTTCTTTAGTGGACTCGAATTTTTAGACGAGTTCATTTTTTAGTTGTTTTGCAATGCAAGATGTAGTTTTAGTGTGCATGGTCTGTTAATTGAAGCTTTCTTAAATATATTTGCCCTTTTTCCTTTTCTTCTTAAATTTGCTTTTAATCTTTGGTTAATATTTTACCTTTCAACAGGTTATCATAAATTCCGAGGTTTGGGATTTGCGGAAGTTCAGGCTACTCCGAAGTGTACCTTCTTTAGACCAAACAGCAATAACCTTCAATGCACGTGGGGATGTAATTTACGCAATCCTGAGGAGAAATCTTGAAGACGTGATGTCAGCAGTCCACACCCGTCGTGTGAAGCAACCTCTATTTGCTGCATTCCGCACATTAGATGCCATCAATTACTCTGATATTGCCACTATTCCAGTGGATCGATGTGTTCTCGACTTTGCAACTGAACCAACCGATTCCTTTGTTGGGTTGATCACAATGGATGACCAAGAAGAGATGTTTTCATCGGCCAGAGTTTACGAAATTGGTCGTCGAAGGCCAACTGATGATGATTCTGATCCTGATGATGTAGAAAGTGATGAGGACGAAGATGATGATGATGATGCCGATGTAGACCCAATACTTGGGCCAGATATCAATGGGGATGGTGAAAGTGATGCAGATGAAATGAGCAATGAGGATGATGACGGTGTGAGTGAGCTTGATGATGATGATGATGGGGATTTTATCATGAATGATGGAGACTTCGATGGTGGAGGTGGAATATTGGAGATTGTGACTGAGGGTGAGGATGATGACGATGACAGCCGGTTGGTCGAATCTTTTAGCAGTGGTGATGAAGAGGATTCTATGGGTAATGGCTTTGGTTTCTAATTTGACATGATAGGCAAAAATGCTGGTCATCATGCTTTTAGAATAGTGGAAAATCGAAATGTTTTTAATTTTTATTGTTTTTCTCCTTTGCCAAATTTTTTACTCGAGAAAATTTTCAGGATCTGTTACTGCCTCGAAAAGTTTTGATCCGTCGCTGGCTTTCTGTTACTAATTAAAGAAAAAAAGATTTCTTCTACTGTATTTTGATTTTGATGTGGGAATAGAATGGACTGTAGTAGGCTATAGAGGCGATTGCGGCGAAGCCCCAATTGTTCAGAATCGTCAGGAAATGGGCACTGGCGTCCATGTTCAAATCTTTGTTTTCCAAGCAGCTCCTTTGCTTCCATGGGTTGAAGTTTGAATTAATTCTTGATTCTTCTTCCTCTTTTTCTTTAACAAGAAAATGTGATTATTGCAGGAGTACATATTCTTGTTTGACGAATTTCTCGGTTCTTGGTACTTTCTTCCTCCCACGGCCAGGCTCTAATTAATTACTTGGTAATTAAATATTATTACGTGGGTCTTCACATGCGGAGAAATATATTTCATTCTTTTTTTTTAATTGTTTATAAGTGAAATTATTTAAATATTTTTAACAAAATTTTTAAAATTTTCTTCGAAAAAAGTTATAATAACTTTTGAAAATGTATTTTTGAAAAATCATAATATTTTTTGAAAATATAATTCTTAAAATAAAAAAGTGAAAATTTATGAAAAGTTATTTTAAAAAAATTGATAAAATTATATATAAATTAATGTAATAAAAAAGTTATTATTAAAAAATCATAAATTTTGAAGTTAATAATAAATTATTTTTACTATTTTAAATTTTTAAAAAAATCTTATAAAATTTTAATTAAATATTTTATCTCGTGATGTTAGAAAAAGTGATAAAAATTTTAAAAATTGATCAACATATAAGAGTTGAAACTCTTTAAAACTATATAAATAATGTTACTAAATATTATATAATTTTGTCAAAATGTTACAAAATCACCATTGCCATGTTTTCGATCGATCACATATGAATTTGAGAACTGGTTGGAAGAGTGTCGGAAAAATTAGAACAAACTCAAAGTTAAAAGATCTTCTTTACAAGTATTGCATGTTTATGAATAAAGAGATAGTATAAATAATATTATTGAATATTATATAATTTTATCAAAATCTAATATAATAATTAGATAAATTTATTGTGATAAATAGATTAAGAGATTTCTCTAAGAAGTTTTGTTTAGTTAAAACTATTATAAAATTTTAATAATCGATACAAAAAATAATAAAAGTAAGATAATATTTTTTTTTAAGAAGAAAATAGTAAAAATAATTTTTTATTAATTTTAAAATTTATGATTTTTTTAATAAAACTTTTTTCTTTACACTTATTTACAAATAATTTTACCAAAATTTCTTTTTTTATGATTTTTATAAAATTTTAATTCATTTGAAAATATATTTATGAAAAGTGTAATAACAAATTTTCACTTTTGAAATGTGCTATAATTTTTCGGAAATAAATTTTAAAAGCAATAAAATTTGTGAGATGGATATTTTAATAATTTCACTTACATAAAAAAAAAAAGGGGGGGATGTATAGAGAAAAGATTTGGGTGCATAATTCCCCTTTGCACATTATTATGGGTTTTTATTTTACCATTTTTGGGTTTGAACAATTAAACTAGACAATTGCAATCTTAGTCTTATGGTTGCAGTTCAACCCCGTGACTTGGTTTGCCCAAGTCAGAAAATGATAATGGTTAGTGTGGGCTCTTCTTACTTATATGATATTTATTTTTTGGATGAAACCTGCCTATTTTTATTTTATTTTTTAAATTGTAAGGCTCTTTTTTTATTAAAATTTATTTTTTGGTGTGGGAGTCACACCTTTGTTTATTTATTTATTTTTTAAAGGTGTGGGGCCCATTTTTTATTAAATTTTATTTTATTAGTGTGAGACTCACACCTTTATTTAAATTTTTTTCTTCGATTTTTGGTTATTTATGAGACTTACTTATTTTTTCAAATTTTTAAAAGTGTAGGGTCTATTTTTTGTTTTTTTTGTCAGACTTATACCTTGGTTATATTTTTTTCATCCAATTAAAGAATTTTTTTTTTGTTTTAATTTTTAAAATTCTACGGATTCACCTTTTTTTTAAAAAAAAAACTCTTTAAGGGTATTGGGCCCAAAGTTTTTTTTTTTTTTGTTTTTTTGTTTTTTGATATAGGATCTATACCTTGGTTTTTTTTTTCCCAATCAATTTTCTTTATTTTTGTAATTTTTTACTTTTTAATTGTAGGACCCATATTTTTCTTTTTTTTTATTTAATACAAATACTATATTCATATATAATTATGACTCAATTTATTTGTGCATGTAATTATTTTATATGTATGAATATGTACTATGCACCTCCTGTCATCTATATTATTTTTTTAAGTTGATACGTGTAATTTTTTTAATTTTTTTTTAAATAAATCTTTTTCAAGAAGTGAGACTCACCTTCAAACATTTTTTAAAGGCCCACATTTTTATTTTAACATATAGGATTTGTATTTTTTTCATGAAACCTATTTTGATTTTTTTTCAATTTAATTTTTTATTGATTTCAACAATTCTTTTTTCAATACAACTTAATTTTTTTTAGTTTTTTTGTTGAAATCTTTTTCTTAGGTTTTTTTTTTTTTTTTTGGATAAGTTGTATTTTTTTTATCCAAAAGAAGTAATAAAATTGCTATAGTACATACATTTTATATATACAATCAAATCATATTCTAACTATTATGCAATATAACTTTATTTATATTTCAAGCATCACACAAAATCTTGTTAACTAGGTCAGTAATAATTGAATGCAATCCATGTAATCGAGTCCTAATAGCTTTTTTAATCAGCTCATACACTTGTTTTTCTATTCCTTCTTTATTCTTGAATAATCTATAGTTCATTTCTCTCCATATATAGTATATATGAGCATTCCAAGAAATGTGCAATACTACTGATATCAGTGCTTTGCCTTTTATCCTTGTCATTGCTCATTTCAATTCTTCAATCCACTCTTGACTACTCTGTCAATCTTGCATGATTGCAATACCCTTCTCCACACCGAATTTTGCATATTCACAATTAAAAAATAGGTGGTCCCTGGATTCCCTCCTATGTTGACATAGGCAACACCTTTCATCCACCTTTACTCTAAAATTCCTCAATTTATCTTTTGTTGGAAGCTTATTTAGTATAGTCATCCATGCAACATTGAATGCTTAAGGATATGATATTGAAACTAGATTAGTCTGTGCCACTTAACCTTCTTTTGCTTAGACCTTATCTCATTCCAAACCGATGTTATAAAATAATCATTGCTAAGAACAGGCCACACCTTAATACCATTTTTTTGTTTTATGAATTGACGTGTAGTAGTTTGAAGCTGAAGTAGTTTTCTCTAGCCTTAACTATTACCCTGCTGTGGTTCAACTTGCCATACACTTATGCTTTTCAAGACATAGGCTTTAATCCAAGCTATCCATATAGATCCTACTTTTGAGAAAATAGACCAAATATTCCTCATCATGCATGCCTTGTTCCAAGTTAGTGTGTTTTTGATACCCAACCCTCTTTCAGACATAGGGTGGCAAATGGCTTCCTAATTGACTTTAGCTCCTCTGGCAATCCTTTCCTGACCTTTCTAAAAGAAGCTAGAGCATAGCTGATTGATCTTTTTTAACACATGCTTAGGAAATATAAAATGTTTACACCAATAATTGTGTAAGCTAAAGAGTACTGACTAGATTAACTATAGTCTTCCAGCATAAGATAAGTACTTACCAGTCTATTCTTTAATCCTAGCTATGATCTTCTCAAGTAATGGGGCATAATCTTTTGTAGTGAATCTTTTGGTGACTAGTGGGACTCCTAAGTATTTTATAGAGAATAAGCCTACTTTGAATCCTATGGCTTATTGAATTGATTGGATCGTTTCCCTGCCTATTCTTATGGCATATATCTCACTTTTTTCACAATTTAGTAGCCTTGAGAACAAGTAGAAAGCTTGTATAACCACATTGACACTAATGATTGAATCTTTGCTTTCCTTTGCAAAAATCAGCAAATTATCCGCAAAACATAAATGTGTAAGCTTGATTTTCATGCACTTAGGATGATAGGCAAACACTTCAAACTTGACAGCTTCATCTAGCATTCTTGACAGCACATTCATTACTAAAGCAAATAGATATGAGGAGAGTGAATCCCTTTGCCTTATTCCTCTAGCTCCTTGAAAATAGCCCACTAGCCCTCCATTAAGTGATATAGAAAAAATTAGGGTTGTAATACAGATGTTGATCCAGCTTATAAATTTTAAAGGCAATCCAATGGTTGCCAAAATGTTGTGCATAAAATTTCAATCCAATTTATCGAAAGCCTTTTGGAAATCAATCTTTATAGCACACTTTGGGGATAATGTGGTTCTACCATATCCTTTTACCATCTCCTGTGCCATAAGCAGATTGTCTATAATGCTTCTCCCTTCTACGAAAGCACTTTGACTTTTGCTTATGATATTTGGTAGGATATTTTTAAGCTTATTTGCCAAAATCCTAGTAATGCATTTGTAAATGATAGTACAACATGATATGGGCCTGTAATCTCTAATCCTGCTTGGATTTGCACACTTTGGAACTAATGTGATAATGGTTGAGTTAAATGCAGAAAGTATATGCCCAGTTTGAAAGAAGTGCAATATAGCATTTGTAACATTCTTACCAACAATGGACCAAGATTGCTTGAAGAAATGGGTTGTGTATCCATTAAGACTAGGAGCTTTTTCACTATTCATAAAGAACATAACAGTTTTGATTTCTTTTTTCAGCACTGGGCTTATGAGTGTATCTTGATCCTCAAAAGATATTGAAACTTGAAGAAGTTCAGTAAAAAATTCTTGTGAACAAACTTTAAATTCCTTATCGGGTGTACCAATCAGTTTTTGGAAGAATGATACTACTTCCCTGGAAATTTGCAAAAATTTTTCTTGTTAGTTCCCTTCAGCATCAACATGTACTCTTATCATGCTTCTTTTTTGTTTGGCTGCAACCATTTTATGAAAGAATCTTGCGTTTTGCTCTCCTTCTTGTATCCAAGTTGTCCTGGATTTTTGCCTATAATAACTCTTTTCGGCTTCCATTAACTCCTTCAGTTCTTTGGATAAGGTACTTTCAAATTTAATCATTTCAATGCTTGGGGTAATTGTCAATATTTCTATCTGTACAGCCTGCAGCTCTTTTCTTTTTTCCTCTACCTTTGCTGTTACATCCCCGTAATGCAAGTTGTTGTACTTTCTTAACTCCAACTTCAGTCTTTTTAATTTCTTGTGCAATTTAGACAATGGCTTTTTTGTCACTGGCAATTTCTAAGAGTTTTCAACTATGTTCTTAAACTCTTGGTTCCTCGTCTAGAAATTAAAAAACTTAAATGGTTTGAGAGGGGAATACCAAGCCATATTAAGTTTTATCAGT